TCATGAGGCACGAGTGCGGTCAGCGAAAAGGGCATGCAATTCCGATTAATGCCCGCCGCCCCAACAAAGAACAACTGAGTGGCCCTCCGTCAGAGGGCATCTAGCAAGTAAGGCGGTCCAACTGAGCGGGCGTTAGAACTAGAACTTTCAGCGGCTGTAGCTCGCTAATCGCTCGCTGTGGAGTTGCGAGAGTGGGATAGTCTCTAGCTTGGGGGCTGTACTACTTGCACAAAGGACGACCATGTACTACTCGAGCGCGGGGGTTGTCTTTAAACACGCTTGAAAGCGCAGCAACGCGCTGCGTTTGAAATTGCAGTTGAGTCTGAATGCTGCTTTTGTGCTTGCTTGATGCTTGTCTCAAGTGCCATTGTGTCATTGTTTCTTAAAATTAAATTTCAGGAATTCGCTGATCGTATGACTAGGAATGACATCGGTCCGCAGGCAAGTTTCGGAGGTGGAGATGTTCCACCAGTGGGAGACAACAGGTATTCTCTCATTTCTCGGAGCCTGCTGATTTTTTCATTAGTTGGTACTTTTCGGGACCTGCAGAAGATCTCACCACAGTGTTAAGTTTTGTGCCTTCACTTCCTACTTGTTCATTTATTTATTTCCTATTCATTGTACATCCGGGGTGCTACCACGGAAAAGGCCGATAACTATCGTTAGTGCAAACATGATAAATACAAAAATAATTCGTGTAGAAGCGAAAGTTTAAAAAGTAAAAAAAAGTATGGGAAAAATGTGCACTTTCAGAAATCAAAGCGTTGTGCTCGTTCATGGGCTTGCTGCCAGCGCAGGCACCCTCGAACCCCAGCGGCAATACCTTCTAAAGGCAGGTTTAGCTTCCAATATGTGAATTGTACACAAAGCATGTCTCAAAAAGTGGCACTAGTTACCCTTTAGTGCCCCAGTCTCCGATAACCAATCCATAATTTTATCGAAAGAATCTTTACCAGTTGGGCAAGACTTTGCTCCCGGTTCGAATGTCCAAATGAAGCGAAAACGCCATACACCAGCGCTGGCGCCTGTAGCACACGTAGGCCTTTGATTCTCGTGATCAAGCGTCAAAGTACACTCTGGGACAATTGTTCAACATATTGTCTCCCTTAGTAAGGGTTCTGACACATGCACCTTGTGGCTTGAGTGCTTGGCGAGTTCGACCTGCCAATAGGTGATATTCATGCTCTGAGGGTGAGCACCTTTAGCTGGAGTAGCATACGGTAACATACTGTATGCCACCACCCAGCGCATATCCCGAGGCCCGCCTGCGGCATGACCGCGCTTAATTGCAGCGCTGACTGTTGACCTCTCACTGGCTACTGTAACGAGATGAATCGATTCGAATCCGTTTGATAATCGGATTTGATAAGTTAAAATCAGTAATTTCGTAATTCTATGAATATTGGGTTGAGGATAAATGTTCGCATCGAAGAGAAACGTGTTGAAATTTTTAAATGTTTCTGTTTTTAGGTGTTCATATACATCGAAATGACCTTCCAAAGGCAAATTAATTCTTACAGGATGACCTTTCACACTTCAATTCTCTTATAGCCTCTTTCTGTTGACGTTGCTGCTACTGCTCCCACCTTATTGGAGGTCGCCTGAAAATATGTTTATATAGCTCGATGAGCACCTCGTCATAACACACCTCGTCAGTGTTTGTCGTCACGAGCATGCTTTCAGGTGCCTACTACACCGCGTCTTGTCATGACTTTTCCATAAACTCACTCCTCACAGGTTCTACTCGACCCAGTTCCCTACATGCTTCTGCTGCTCTATCGCCGGCCCAATCACTCTACAGGATAGCTTCTACATTGCTCCTCCGCCGATGCATCATCTTCACACCAGTACCGTCCCAACCCTATCACCTGCATATTTCCTAACATCTACCCCATTCAGCCTACCAGCGATGTCTACTACGGGACCGTGCATGCAATCACAACATCCATTCCTCCTCGGGAAATCACAGATTCCTGCACAGCGCCTCCACCTTTGTCGCCCATTCTTCTTCACGAAATCACAGATTCGAAGAATGTTATCGAAGCGTGCCCACTGAGGATCAAGTAGAAGACTTTTGTAGAAGGATGGCTAGATACGTAACTAGTAAAACCATATAATTTTTCGAATGTTAAGAAGTGCATTTTATTTGTTTCGTTGTAAATCTATTGCCATTATAAAAAATTTCCTTCCTAACACTCAACCTTGTGAATAAACAAATCGATTCATCTCGTTACGTTGAGTAGCCAGTGAGAGGTCAGCAGTCAGCGCAGCAATTAAGCGAGGTCATGCCGGGCGGGCCTCGGGATATGCGCTGGGTGGTGGCATACAGTATCTTACCGTATGCTACTCCAGGGGGAGGGGGTGTGTGGTGTTCTTAAAAGATCTCACTTCACACCTATCATGCCTCTTGGGGAGACTTGCCTGTGGGGTCGCCTGACTTAATTGCTCTCTCGCTTACTCCTGACCTTCCCTCTACTTGACGATTACATCATAATAACTGATTATTTATTGCTGATTCTTTAGCAAATTTCAAAGAGGTAAGAAGTATCAGGTTGAGACACAAGTAATGGCGTTTTGTTGTCACACAAATTTTTAATGGAGGATGACAAACACTATTTTATAAATAATTTTACGCGTTTTTATTCCCTGAAAGGGAAATTCGGGTCGACCCAAAAATAAGTTTTCAACTATTTTGAATTTCATCTCGGCTCTTAATCTACAGAAGAAGCTCAAACCTTGTGATGTATATGACCAAAGAAAGATGCGTCTTATGACAGCTTGAAGTTGAAGCGATCAAGAGGTGGGAATTCGGACCTTGTAAAAGAGCATCGCGTGGGGGCCCTCTTGGGGAGGGACTGCCTGCAGAACCTACCCACTTATTTTCGAACGTCTAACATCAACTGAGGGTGGTGGTTGATAATGATAAGGAAGCATTCTATGACCTCTAACGATCCCTCAATCTTTGGCATGATTCTCAGTTAATAAGGTAATTCCGTAAGCTCTCAGTTGGACAAAATAAGGGCATTAGGCCCGATGCTTGTCTGCGATGTCGGGAACTGAAATCCCTCGAATCATTTAGAGTATTGTTAACATCCCCAAAAGACATAACCTCTCAGCCATATACTTAGCAACTGGGCCCATGCGGTTTTAGCTTTTTAATTAGAGGTATAAAAGAGAGGCTGTCGAAAATGCTCAATTTCGTCGACCTGACACTCCAGTTTGAGCACTTAAATATTAGTGGAAAGAGAAACTTGAAGAAAACTAAGAAGATTATCGTGTAGGGCAAGGAATCCTCCGCATTGGCAAAACTTTCCTTCTTCAGCGCGATATTTCAAGTGGGGAAAAAACGCCATTACTTATAGGAAAGAATCAAAAGTGAAAAGCATGTTAAAATGAATTAAAATGAAATTGTAACAAATCTAAACATTTTTCTACAATATTTCAGAGCTTAGATTATTTGGGATACCTTCCGCGATGGAAAAAAAACAGGAAATTTTTCAATAAATGTTTTTTCCATTTAACTTGTAGCAATTCCATGTTGTATACGTCTGTCGTCTGCATTTCAGCGCTCTTGTTAGTTAACTGTGTTCTTAACATTTCAAATTTCTCAAAAAACCTACTTTCACACTTCCTACGTTTACTTTTATTTTTGCCTTCTACTTTCCATGTTAAGTTTGGCTCAGTCGTGTCTGTCAACGAGAGGTCAGGAGTAAGCGAGAGAGCAATTAAGTCAGGCAACCCCACAGGCAAGTCTCCCCAAGAGGCATGATAGGTGTGAAGTGAGATCTTTTAAGAACACCACACACCCCTACTCCACCCGTGCTCTGACGATCAGAATCATCTTGAAAAAGTCAACTTCTACCTCCAAT